TTTTCTTTTTTCTTTCATATGCCAAGAAATATTGACTCCCTTTTAAAATATGTATTAAAATATGTATTACACAACAGCACAATCAACAGAAACTTCTATGTGGAAAAAAATAATAGTAATAAATAAATTATGACAGATTGACATATACAGAACATATCGGAATAAGTTCGTAATTGCTTTTACGGCCATATGTAAGGTGCTTCTTTTTTTTTAAAAAAAAAAAAGAATATTTATCTCCAGAATCTGGGAGTTAGAGGGGTTTTATATAGGGGTGTCCAAAAGTCTCGAATCGAATCAAACCAAATTGAACCCGAACTGAACTGAACCGAACCGAATTGAACGATTTTTCATAAGTTAAATACCCGAATGGGTACCCGAATCGAGAACTGATGGGTTTGGGTCGGGTGTCAGTTCTAGACCAAGAACCGAAGAACCGAATAAGATCCAAAACTAAATAATTTTTTTATTTTTTATATTGAATTAATTAAATTAAATTATTTTTTTCTAAACAAATTAGCAAATTAATTAAATAAATTAGATCATTTCATAATTTTAATTTTAAAGTCTAATACCCAAATCATTTTAAACCTTATTTTAAAGACAAGAAACAGTGGAGTTTGAGATCCATTTGCAGTTTTTGATATGGATCACTGATATTTTAATATTAACATCTACTTTTTGGTATTTATATGTATTGAATTAATTTTATTGAATAGCTAGNTTGTATACACTGAATTAATCTTATTTGTCGGCTAGTTATTTATATATTTTTGAATTGGGTTACATTAATTTATAAAAGTTACGAATGAAATGTCATTAGTTGTATTATGTAGTGTTACTGTAAATGTTACAAAATTTAATTATGGTATGGAACCGAACCGAATACGAACGGTTCCATAATTATATTTGGATTCGATAGGTCCATTTATTAAATACTCGAAAGTTTTGGGTCAATTCGGTTCTCTTCAGAACCAAACCGAATCGACCCACGGACAGCCCTAATTTTACATGCAAAAGATCATATGAGTTCTATTCACAATTTTAATGGATTAATATTAACAATTGATTTTTTTTCTATAAAATTGTTTTTACATTTCATGTATCTAACTTTTATCTGTGTTAATCCATGCAGGCATTGGTTGAATTTATGGCAGAGTAAGCTCCTTTGTTTTAATCCAAACATTCAGACAAGTTAGTACTTACTGCTGGCGCCACTTCAGCTAATGAAACTCTCGTGTTTTGCCTTGCTGATCCTGGCGATGCTTTTCTTCTCCCCACTCCCTACTACCCTGGGTATGCATTCATTAAACTATCTCGTCTGAAAGTTATTTATTGTGTCTTTAACACGTTCCATCGTGTCTCCATTCTCATTTTTCATCGTAAAATTTTATAAATGCAGGTTCGACAGAGACCTCAAGTGGCGAACAGGAGTTGAAATTGTACCGATACAGTGTAATAGCTCGAATGGCTTCAGAATTACTGGATCTGCTTTAGAAGAAGCTTATCAAGAGGCTGAAAGACGAAATCTTAAAGTTAAGGGCGTATTAGTAACTAATCCTTCAAATCCACTTGGAATAACGCTGAGTCTGACCGAGCTTAATCTCCTAGTAAACTTCATTTCTGCCAAAGGTATCCATTTGATAAGTGATGAAATATATTCCGGACTGGTTTTTAACTCGCCGGACTTTGTGTGCATAATGGAGGTTTTGATGAACAAAAAATACAAGAACGCACAAGTTTGGGACCAAATTCATATAGTATACAGTCTCTCCAAAGATTTAGGTATTCCAGGATTTCGAGTTGGAGCAATTTACTCTAACAATGAAATGGTTATATCTGCAGCAACAAAAATGTCAAGTTTCGGGTTGGTTTCTTCTCAAACTCAGTATCTTCTTTCAGCCATGCTTTCAGACAAAAATTTTACGAAAAACTACGTCTCAGAAAGTCGAAAACGGGTTAAACATAGGCAGGAAATGCTGATTCGAGGTCTTAGAAATGTCGGTATTGGCTGTTTGGAAAGCAATGCAGGTTTATTTTGCTGGGTAGACATGAGGCACCTTTTGAGTTCCAATACTTTTGAAGCAGAATTGGAGATTTGGAAGAAAATTATTTATGAAGTTGGTTTGAATATGTCTCCTGGATCTTCTTGCCACTGCCCCGAGCCTGGTTGGTTTCGTGTTTGCTTCGCAAACATGTCAGAAGAAACCCTAAACCTTGCTATGCAACGAGTGAAAGTCTTTGTCAATTCAACGAATACTAGTGGCCGCAATAGCAATCAATATCCAAACAAGAATTTGCGAAGAAAGTCACTCGCCAACTGGCTATCATTTCATGAGCACGAATGTGAACGATAGTCAAATACTCGAGTACGAACTTATCCAATTTAATTTTCCCAATATTGCAACGGTTAATTCTTTTCTTTTTTTGTATGATTTTCTTGTAGAGATTGCACCCGATCTTGTGGATGAGAAGTGAATTTCGTTTCAATTTATAAACCAACTTTCGAAGTCGGTTGATGAAATCCTCTTGAAATGTAAAATATTATATTACGCGTACTATCAAAATATTATTTTGTAGATAGGTGTCATTTAATTTTAAACTATTCTTATAATCTTCACAAATGATATACAAGAGATACGTAAGCATTGTTGCTTATAATTAAGGTGGTTCATACATAAATAAAAAGAAGTCTAAATATTGTTTATTTTTCATTGTTCTTTCATAATAGGGAAGAAACATTCCTTTATAACAAGAGAGAGAAGTTATATAGGGCCATGTTGTAGAAACATGTTAATTTAAATCCTTTAAAATTGTAGGTCCATATATTCTCTCTTTATTTTTATATTTTTTTACTTTTAATAAAATTAATCATTTTCTTAGTTTGATTTTTGCTCATGATTATGCCCTGGTTTGATTCCTTTATTTTAAACTCATTTTCAATCACATTCTCACAATAAAATATTTTGTACTAAATTTTTTTCTACATTTTAATCACACATTCTTCAAAATTTCATTATTACAAAACTCATTTTAATGAAATAATGGGCATAAACCAAGACCGAGCAACTATTTGTCATATTAAAATAATTTTAAGTTAGATTAGATATTACATTACTGGGAAAGAAAAAATACATATAATAGCATACGTTATAAAGTATTCAAAGAGTATACGTTATAAAGTATTCAAAGCGTGTTGAAGACAAACATAATACAATACATGTCAAACAAAATGCATATAATAGTATATGTTATAAACGAAATTTTTTTTTTTTTTCACGTCCCAACAATTTCTTTATTTTTAGAGTAGTGCCGTTTAGCACTATTTGTGCTAAGCATCGATCTAGGTGACATGCAATTGTTATTAATTTATTATCATCTTAAAAGCATAAAAATGAATCACATTTAAGATGTTCCGTCACTTGCGTACCATATAGATTGGTGATAGATAACTTTAGGCCCTGTTTGTTTCTGATTCTCAAATCAATTCTCAAATCAATTCTCATTTTCAACCACACATTCTTCAATAAAATAATATTTTTCATCACATCAATACGTTTTTCTTCTTTTTCAACCACACATTTCCCATCATATCACTATTCAAAAATCAATTCTTCCTCCAAAAATCCATACCAAACACACTCTAAATCACTGTCAAAGCATCACACTCCACCTCACCAATATCCAACCCTTGATTTTTAGCAAACCAACCCTCTCAAAGAGATGTCACCTTACCATCTTCCAACATTAGGATTATTGACATTGCCTTTGAGAGAGTAGCCACCACAACTTCGTTATAGTCAACTACTACCCCACATCCAAACATAAGTTGTAAAATAGGGAGTATATTATGCCCCTGTTTGCTTCCCATAAAAATGCAATTTTGTATCGTTGCAACAGTTCATCAACCGCAATTTTGGACAATGTTGTCTATGTGTGGGACCCACCTATTTTGAAATAAAAGAGTCAAAAAATGCGTTTTCTTGTTAAGATAATGTGAAACAAACGGGAGCTATATTTAGAAAGTTTTGAAAAAATTGCACAGACAAATTTTTAAATGCTAAATGATACGGTATTTTCAAACATGACTGAATTAATGAGTTCAATTAGAAAATCGATAATTATATATTTATTTGTAAATTTAATTCATGTTTTTTCAACTATGCTAAATCTGAAGAGCTAAACTCACTTTCTATTATTACTTTATAATGAATGCTTTTAATTAGTTACAAATTTCAATACCATATTCCTTAAATTATTCAAATCATATTTTAATTGAACAAATACGTCAAATAAAAAATAAGGAGAAATCAATAAATATTTCTTCAAAAAAATAAAATAAAATGAAGCGTCAAAATAAAAACCACCCATTGGAAGAGTATAAATTTATACTCACTAAATTTAAAAATACTCTTTATTATATATAAGATATGCTTTACAAATAATGAATCTCTGCCCTTGTGGAGCATATCGATTAATTAAATGAAACGTGACAAAAATTTGTATGAAATTATTAATTAACGGATTGGTCAATCGACCCTTCCCAAATCCGCCATATTCGAAAGAGTATGTTGCTTTGTTGGGTCAGAGACAATCGTGCAACGTCTCACTCAAAATTTCAGGTTGTATAGACATCCAAGTTTAGTTTGATGTTATTTAACGTTAAACTCGTTCAAAATCCTAAAAATAGACATTGAAACTGAGAGATTTTCAAGGAGAAAGCATAACCAATGGTCTAAACGACAAAAGAAATACATACAAATTCCGGGACTTCCTCCAATGCCTTATATTTACCATCTCTCTCTCTATAACACAGACTCTGCATGGATTCTTCAAGACAGCTCCTAGGTGCCTCCTCCTCCAATTAGAGGAAAGAGGTCCCTTTTGGCTCTGCCTTTTCCAGCCCTCAGAAAAATCTCTCGATATTACTCTGAATCCAAAAATGGCTGCACTGCGTAGAATTCTTTTGTTAGCCCTCCTTTGCTTGCTCGTAGCCTCCACGGCTGCTGATGGGAAGAAGAAGAAGGAGAAGGGGAAGGGGAAGGGGAAGGAAGGTGTTGTGACCTACGATGGACGATCACTTATTATTAATGGAAGTAGAGAAATTATCTTCTCTGGTTCAATCCATTATCCTCGTAGCCCTCCGGAGGTAATAATCTCAAATGATTATGTTCGACGACCTCGTTTAAAAGTCTTAAATTTTGTTATATGCATTGATTTCAGATGTGGCCAGACATCATTGAAAAGGCCAAAAAAGGTGGTCTGAACCTCATCCAAACTTATGTTTTTTGGAACATTCATGAGCCTGTTCAAGGCCAGTTCAATTTTGAAGGCAACTATGACCTCATAAAATTCCTTAAAATGATTGGGGAGCATGGTTTGTGGGTTAGTCTCAGGGTTGGACCCTACATTGAGGCTGAATGGAATATGGGGTAAACTCTTCGAAAATACCATTTTCTCATGTTCTTTAATCATTTTACAACCTTGTTCTTAATCCTAAATGTGTCTGTCTAAACAGAGGATTTCCATACTGGCTAAGAGAGGTTCCCAACATCACGTTCCGTTCTTACAATGAACCCTTTGTGGTAACTCATCTACTAACAGACCGGAACTTTTTTCCTTGAAGCAATGTATACTTTCATTACATTGTCCAATTGATAAAAAAAATGTTCTACTTTGCAGTACCATATGCAAAAATACACAGAGAGGATCATTAATATGGTGAAAAAGGAGAAACTATTTGCAGATCAAGGAGGCCCCGTTATTATGGCACAGATTGAAAACGAGTACAATAATATCCAGCTTGCCTACAGAGAAGCAGGGACAAAGTACGTTAAGTGGGCAGCAGATATGGCCGTAGGTCTATACGATGGCATCCCGTGGGTTATGTGCAAGCAGAATGATGCCCCGGAGCATGTGGTTAGTTATTTTCCCCCCTTCCTTTTTTTTACTTTTAGTCGAATATGTTATTCTATTTTGTCTAACATGATCGATTCGTTATCCAGATCAGTACGTGTAATGGAAGACAGTGTGGAGATACTTTCACTGGTCCAAATGGCCCTAACAAGCCTTCTTTGTGGACTGAGAACTGGACTGCTCAGTAAGTACATGCCTTATACCTCGATTATGCATATTGACATCGATTTTTGATTTTGTTCTAACGGTTATTTTTCCCTTGAAAACAAAATATAATTGCAGATACAGAGTATTTGGAGACCCTCCGTCCCAACGTTCAGCAGAAGATCTTGCATTTTCTGTCGCTCGTTTCTTTGCAAGGAATGGTACCCTTAATAACTATTACATGGTATAGTAGATATCATCTTCTAAGAATCTTGATTGACTGGAAGATTGATGATCCATTTTGTAAGCATCTTAACTATGATTAAAAAAATTGTATTCTATCAGTACTATGGTGGGACCAATTTTGGTAGAACAAGTTCATCCTTCGTGACAACTCGCTACTACGATGAAGCTCCCCTTGATGAATTTGGTTTGGAATTTTATAGTTCAATCTCAATTGATCCAAGGAAGTAAAATCGTTCAATCGTTTGATTAACCTTGATCTGTCTATTTCAGGCTTGGAGAGGGAACCTAAATGGGGTCATTTGAGAGACTTGCACAGGGCTCTGAGATTATCCAAAAAACCTTTGCTTTGGGGAACTCCTAGTGTTCACAAGATTAGCGAGGACCTAGAGGTAACAAAAAGCATTCAAGTAGAATGCAAAACCGCGAAAAAATAGATCTTTATAGCTAAATCAATAATGAAATGAATCTTTGTAGGTTATAACTTTTGAGAATCCCAAAAGCAACATTTGTGCGGCATTCTTGACCAACAACCACACAAAAGCACCTGCAACCATTAACTTCAGGGGTATCGATTATTACTTACCACAGAAATCCATCAGCATTCTCCCTGACTGCAGGACTGTAGTCTACAATACTCAAACGGTAAAATCAACTATCTCGTGTCCCAACAACGTTAACTGGGATTTTAGAAAAATGGGTTCTGATCTGATATGCATAATAGGTCGTTGCACAACATAATGCAAGAAATTTCATTCCTTCAAAGAAAGGAAAAATCAACGAGTGGGAGATTTTCCGAGAGAACATTCCGAACATTAATGATTTGCATGTAAAGAACAAGGAACCACTCGAGCTGTACAGCTTGACGAAAGATACCTCAGATTACGCTTGGTACAGCACGAGGTATGCATATCAACAAACCACTCCATTGTAAAACATATTTACAATGTATAAGCATCACGTTGCTTTGTTTTTATGGTTACAGCATCAACATCGAGAGGCGTGACTTACCAATGCGGCCTGACATCCTCCCGGTACTTCAGATTGCAAGTCT